GGCTTCTTTTAAGTATGTAGTGCAGTTTCCAGATTACTAATGCTTACTGTTTTAATAATTATTACAACAATAATTAGAATGTGATAACACTTTTTTTAAAAAAAATGGCATCAATATAATTAGGTTAAATTTTATATTTGTATGTCGACAGTTTCTTGATTCACAGTAAAAAGGAAAATGCAATTAAAATAAATTTAAACTCATAGAGCACTTTGTCCAAAATTTGACAACTTAATTTTCTGCATAATTATGATTAAAATATAGTACTATTTTTCTGTGTACAATTGACATAACTGAAAAGGTTAATTAAGTATTCATGCAGTCCGAAAAAACCCTTCAACTCTTCATTCCAATAAAGAATAATTCCTTTGATCTTTTTTATACCAATATTTTGTGCGTGTGTGTGTGTGCATTGACTTATAATTACATTAATACTCTGACTTCTGTGCTTTTATGATTGGCCAAACTATCAAAGCTCATCCACAACCCCGCGTTTGTCTTTTTCTCAAATGCCATTCAGCAGTGGACAGCCAACCCGGAAAACCAATTTTCCTTTCATTAGTACTCAACACCGAATAATTTGAGAGCATGAAGTTATCAAGAAAGCGTGACGGATAGGTCGCACGAACACAACAACGAAAAAAATAAACGGTTGTTCCATGCGAGCAGAATATTGTTGCTCTGGAGATGAACATGATGATTGGGACGGTTCGTTAGGCACAATCCTAATGACAATCGCTGGGGACCTCGTGGTTAGCATCCGGCTTAACAAAACCTGTCATCGTTTATCACGACTACTTAGAGGAAATTTGTGTTTGTTATTCTAATGATAACGGGGGAAGAATGCTAAATATATGGTGGATTGTTTTCGGTGGAATTTTTAACTCGGGTATCAATGACTGACTGACAGAGTTGGTTTCTTTTCGCAGAAATGTTTGATAGAACAAAAGGTGGACGGTGCTGGGAAAATTCCTACTCTCTCGTTGGATTTTTGAACCTCTGCTTTAAAAAGTATAATTAAATTTTTTAAACTGAAAATTATAATGTATAGTTATCTTTTTTTTTTTGTTGTTGAAAATCGGCCTAAATAATGCGAAATATTTGGTATTTTTCTTTGTAGCATTCCATATAATATCCATGAAGTATTTTTAAAGGTTTTATTTTATTTTATTTTAATGTACATCACACTCTATAGCTGGGGACACAGAAGATCGTTCGCACTTTATGGAAACGATTATATATATAATACGTAGTTAATTTTTATCAATAACAAACTATATTTTGGTGGGCAATTTGCTCCTGTTTGAGAGCCATGATTCTTGATAGTAGCTGTAGCTCGAATTTTTCATGAAAGTAAACTTTTTGTCATTCAAATTTTACTCCAGTTCTCTTGAACCGTTTTCCTAAGTCCGCTCAGTGATCTTGGATGCCCTTTTCCTTAGGCTCATTTTAATAAATCACAAGCACTAAAGTCCATTGGAGAAGCGTAGGGTGATTTTACACGCATTTCATCAAATTGGATACACTTTATTGCTGTTTCTGATTCTTTCTTTGCTAAAAAAGCAGCACAGATATGAATAATTTTAAGTTAAAAAGGAAAATTTATATTTTAGAAATGCATTCTATTTAAAAAATAGTTAAGCTATTATTGAAAATACACGCATTAAATGTGAAAATTTAAAATTTAATAAACCGAAGAGATATCTAATGGCTGAACTTTCTCTCGTCCAATAGAAGCCGTAGTTGTATTAGATGCCAGACCAATGGGGAAGCCCCCTCAGGGGCTCACCTTCTTTAAGTGAGTACGGGTGTCACAATCCCGAGGTTCCCTAGTGATCTTTTCCTTTTCCCAAGGGGTTTACTATCTTGGGTAAACACGGGTCTCACGAACCTGGAGTACCCTAGTGATCCTTCTCTATTTCCGACCCTCCTTCTTGTCATTCAATTTATCCTTTCTTTCTTTTCCCTTCTAGATCAGATTTTCACAAATGTTTGGCGCAGTATAGCCAGATTTGGCTCTTGCGCCTTAAAATCTCACATTCACTCATTCACCCAATGGGGAAGCAGTTTATTGTGACATGAGTTGGAGTATAAAACCTTAATGAGAAACGTACTCCTCCTACATAGGGTGAGAGGGAGCGTTCTAATATATTGTAGCGTTAAGGGTGCCGGAGGCACAAAGGCTATTGGCAACGGACTTCGTAATTTTAAACCATGTTCAAGTGACGAGGTAGACACCTCTTAAAGGAGTTTGCCCAAAGGAATGTGCCATTTTTAGAAAAAATTTTATTGATTAATTTTAGTTATGTTCAACGATTATAATAAAAGTTATTTTACAAACTTAAATTTTTTTGTCACTTTAAAAGAAAAATAACATAGACCTTAAACATTGTTCCTATTTTTTACGTTAAGGGATCAGGTACAGGATTTACAGATACTTTTTAGAAGATGTTATTCAAGCATGAGAATTCCAAAATATTACCGTATGAACAATGAATTAATTTAAAGAAAAAAATAACGAAAAGAAACAATTAAAATTATCATAAAATTCCACCATATATCTCTTCTCGAAGATAAAATTCCTCCTATTTGTTAATTTTCCTAAACATAATTTGTGAATTTTACCTTTCTCTCTAATTTTCAGTTTCAAAAATTAAAAAGGCATCATTTCTTAAAAGTAAATAACAATTGTAAGAGCTTGTCATAACTCTTTTCAACTGTCCCAAGAAACAGATGCGCCATGTAGTGACCACCCAACTTCAGTACGGGCCAAGTGAGGAATGAATCTAGTCCCTACGAAAACTCGTCAACGTTCTTTGTCCACAATTTTTGTTGTGTTATTTGTTGTCTTTGTGTGATCCAACCTAAATTAATAAATGATTATTACACTAAAGAGACTCATTTATCCAACATCCGAATTTACCTGGTTGGTTTAATATTCACATTTTTTAACACACTACAATTGTCAATTACACGAAGTTCTCGAAATTTCAGAGATTTTTCCTTTTTTGTAAGTAAAAAGGAATATTTTCTTTCAGACCTTTCTCTTCCTTAGTAGAATACAGTAGTCACCTAATTAATTTAAATTATTAATTAATTTATTTATTTGTTCAGAGAACATAAAACATGTAAGCCTTTGACATACTTCAAACAAATCAATTCAGCATCCTGATTCACATATTTTCGTAATCAGTTTTAATTTGCTTACTTTGAAAAAATAAAACGACACCGCCAAATAAAGACATGTTGCCACCGGAACAAGAATTCAAAAGAAATAAAACAGAGTTCAATAAATAATCAAAGAAATAAAATTCCGAAACTTTATTTACACGGTGAACTGAATAACACGATAGACTTGTTTAGTCTACTGTCTCAGTTTCTGATTTGCAAGTCTTGTGAGAAAAACAACACGAATGGAAACATAAATTTTGTTTTTCTTTCTAAAAAAATTCGAATTTTCAAAACGAATTAAAAACTACTTAGAGGTGAACTGAAATGAGGTCAATGGTCCGCCAGATATATAAATTGATCGCGAAACACGTAAAACTAATAAACACAGAAAAAGAGAAAAAGAATATATTTAATACAATTATATTGCATTTGCATACTGACATAGCTGAAATTAAATTATTAAATCTCATTTCCGTATTGATAAGTTATAAAATTAAAATGTAAATAAGAATTAAATTACTGTGTGAAAATAAAAAATACTGATATATGAAAATAAAAAATATATATATATATATATATATATATATATATATATATATATATAATAACTCAACTCAGGATTTATCAAAGAAAATGCGGAAGCTTACGTTCCAAACAAATTTATCAATTTTTAATGCTCTCAAACTATATAAGAATTTCTATTCAAATTAGTCATGAAATAAGAAAATGCATCCAACTAAATTATGGTGTAAATCTTTAATAAGCAATTTGGACTATTTAATCCTTTTAATATTTTTGCGTAAAAAATATATACTTTTTAGAAGAAATTTATAGACTTCCTACCTGTTTGTTTAACAAAACCTGTTTTCTATCGTTAACCTATACATATATATTGATGAAAAATACTGAAAAATAATTGTCTAGAAATAAATTAAAGATGATCTTATATCTGCGAGAATATATATAGTTAGAAGAAAAGCGACTCATTTGTTATCTCATTCATCAGGATATCCCAGGAACTATTAGACATACAGACGTGAAATTCGATAGGCAGGTTCCTTTCATGGAGTAGATATGTGAAATTCGATAGGCAGGTTCCTTTCATGGGTAGATATTCACGAAGGAAAGGTTTTGCGAAAATCGACTCCCAAGTGAAGTTGCGAGAGTTAAAAGCAGTTATAGATCAATATTCCTCATTTTGAGCTATTATACCAAAATACTTCAATTTTGGCAACCATGTTTCTTTTGTTGATCAGAGGTCCGTTAAGAAAGAGTTTTGCGTAAATCGACACCTGTGGGGGTTGTGGGGGTTAGTGGGGTATAAAGATGAAAAAATTCTCATCATCGAAATTTGACAAGCATGTATGTGCTAATTTTGTTAAATAAAGATCCACTAAAATGGAGTTACGTGGAAATTCACTTTAACCTTTTTAAAGCAACAGGTGAGGGTTGGAAGAATGTTTTTCAAAGCATTCGAATATTTAATGCTAGAACTTAGATATCAACAATTTATACAAATATAAAGAGCATATATTCATGCAGCATCATGAAATACTCAGCAAAGAGGGCGGAAAACGACTAATATGAATATAAACCAGAAAAATTTAATCTTCAATGAATAAAGTGTCCAGTCCAGACTTTTCTTATTTATTTATATATATATCTTGTTCAAATTTTTTTTTCAATCGTTAATAAAATACTTTTTATTCATCCATTCTAGTTCAAATATTCAAATATTAATTCATTAATTTAATTCAATTAATGAATAAATGGTAACAAACAAAAACAATTGTCCAACACCATATGCAAAAAGGAAAATCGTTGGCTGTGTCCTTTTAGCGCAAAAAATAGCGCGTTGGACTTCTAATCCAAAGGTGGTAGATTCAAATCCTATCTGGGTAGGACTAATTTCTGTGAGCGTGATGTATGAATGAGTAAATATTAACAAACAAAAGTAATTGTCCAACACTATATATAGAAGGGGAAATCGCTTTCTATTTTGCCAGTTAATGATGTGATTCTGTTTTGAGTATATACATATTTATAATAATTGTAATTATTTAATAAAAAGTATCTAAAATAAAAATTTTCTTTGTTGACCTAAGTAGGAATTGACTTAAAATTCTTTTTATGTTACTTGTTTCACTTATTATTACAATAAAAAAATAAGTGCTCACGAAACTGAATAATAACTTACAGAAAGTTAATATTCATTGAAACTCTGATGGTTACTATAAGCCAGGGATGGCGAACCAGTGGCCCACGTGCCATCAATGGTACGTGACACAATATTTTGGGCATGTCAGTGATCAAAATTTTTTGTGTTTTATTTCAAAATAACTAAGTTGACTATGCATGAAGAATTACGAACAAGCGTGAGTGATCGGTGGCGGAACGGCTGGAAGCACACTCGCTTCTTATTGTCTTGCCTTAGCTACGTTGTGGACTACAGTTGCTTATGATGCAAAATTTGACTGTGCAGAGAATTTCAAACTTGGTGAATCTAAAAATATGGTAAAGGCGAGAAAGCGGTGTGTGTTTTCCTTTCTGGAACAGCGATATGCAGAACATTGTAAAACGGCATTTTAAAACAAATTACAAATCCTCACGTCAAAAAAAGTGAACAACACACAGCAAAATAAATTAATTACTCAGAAACCATTTATTAGAAGATTCCAATTCAGCATACATTCAACTTAAAGATACATTTTACAATAATAATATTAGTTATTTGTCATCCAATCAGCAACAACAGAAGTCACACTAATGTTACTTTAATTTTAATTATACGCAACTATACTGTACGAAAGGTATTTTTTCGTAGTAAATAAAGAGTTTTGTGTTGTTAGCATTTAGTTTTATTATTTTACCAATAATCACAAGACAAAATTATTTGACGGCACGTCTATATCTCGTTAAACACTTCTTAAGAAAATATGGCACGTTGATCAATAAAGGTTTGGCACCTCTGCTATAAGCAATTACCTTAAATTCCGGCGTATCACGCGCACCCATAATTTCAAGACGCAATTTTTAATTTTTAGGTATATTCGCCGCATAACGCGCACGTCCTTTTTTTACGAAGAAAACTTAAATGTACGTATACAATGCTGTTACGTTTTGAAGCTATTTATTCGCGTTAATTTCTTAAGCTTTTGTAAAAATTTATATACTTTTAGAATTACACCGTTTTAAGTTCATTAAGAGAATGTCGCTTCTTTTAAATAAACAATAATTCGAAATATGTAGAAGCCGTAATTTTTTTTTATGCTCAGTTCTTTCTTTTTTTATTTTTAAAGCTCTCATTTTTATACCCGGTGTATAACGCGTACCTGTAAATTTTGATCTTATTTTTGATGTAAAAAAGGGCGCGTTATACGCGGGATTTTACGGCAAATAAATATAAGATACAAACCTAAATCCGAAAATTAAATCCTTTCATAAAAATCATTTAAGGGGTGTTGGAAAGCTAAAATCTTATTTTTTTTAACAATTTGAGATTTTTACATTTTCAAATTGTATAGATTTTAACCTTTTTAAAAATACCTTACTTGAACCTCTAGGGTATTTAGAAGCCCTTAAAACGTATTTTTAAATAATCGTTGAATTTGGGCCACGCCCATTTTAATGGCGAAAATTGTAAACAAATTACTTTGTTTTTGCTTAAAAGTGTAACGACTAATATAAACCAAAACATGTATCTTTTATTTTAAATTGAGCCTATTATTTTTTAATTTCCTAGCCGATTAAAAGTCTCACTGTATACATTAAAATCAATTTATCTCAAAATGTAAATTTTGATGTGCGATGTACCTTTTTCTGAGAAACTACTGTTCACAGGTATGTAAATTTTTTATGAATTATTTATAATGATGTCTGATATATACTAAAATGAGCTTTTTGTAAAAAACTCAACCATTTAATTTTTACAAATTTTTTAAGTAAAAAATGGGTCAAATTTCGCAATGTTTGATAAAATATTTCATAATTTATTAAAAATTCAAAAATTAGCTAAAAAGCCATTTTAGTATAATGAGAGAGGTGTACTTTAATAGTATGAAAAATTTCAAGCATACACATAAAACAGATTTTGAGAAAAGGTACATCGAAAACAGCCAATTTAACATTGTCAGTATAGAGAGAGAGAGAGAGAGGTTTCCAACTCCCCTTAAATTAAATATCATTGGACAAAAGTACTCTACATCTGTATTTATTTTCATCTAGACACCTTTTATTTTTTCAGGTCATTGCCTTTCACTTATTTATACATCGAAAACTCTTTTCTCTGAATGGAGAGATAAACCTAGATCGAATCTTTCTAGAGACATCTTTTGGATATAAATTAAGGTCTTGCAGAACGAAAAGCACTATGCACATGTAAGAAGCATGTGTTTACATGCTCTCTGATCCTATCCATCTCCTGCATGAACAATAGACTAAGACAATGCGATTTCCAAACGCGTAACTTAAAGCTGATTTATATGTCACAGGAAGTTTGAAGATTTCCTTGGTAAGGACTGCTAGAAGCCGGGACAGTGACATTAAAGAACTGTAGATGTGATATATCATATATATATAAATTAGAATGTTTTCTTGTATATTTGTTTGGGACCTATACAAATCCATACTGTTAATCGTATTGTTGCAAAATTTTGCGGAGAGTTTCCCCGATATTTGAAAGGGGTTGTTAGCATATTTCTGTCAAAAAAAAATTATTAAATTTATTTTTTGAGAATTTTTTTTCTAAACGCCCCTTGCTTAAGGTATCCGACTACTTGCGACAGCATTTTTTTTTTAAATGGAGATAATGATATTTTTTTTTTTTTTTTTGGGTAGATTTATTTAGTACAATTTAAGAAAAAGATACAAAAATTAAGAAGAGAAAAAGAAATTATTATTACTAAAACAGTTGCATAACAAATGCACCGGATCGTACAGAAGATGATTCCGTGTGGGAAAATGGCAATGCTGGCACCCATTCTGAAGTCAGGCGTGACAATGAGAGTGACGAGTCTCTTTTGAAACATAAGATACTAACGGTTAGAGTAATTACAGGTTCATGTATGTATTTGACAGTTTTTAATACTGGTAAAATAAATTATGAGCTTCTTGTTATATCTCTCTCACATTTATACTTTTTAAAAAAAATTTCTTATAAATATTGAACCTTTTAAACAATTTTTTTCTTCAAAAATATGTAGAGAATCTGGATGCAAAGAACGGTTTAAAAGATATATACAACAGGGGTGGGCAAACTTTTCCTGTGGGTACAGGCTACATCTAATTTTTTTAAAGTAGCGTAGGTTTGCTGAGGTAACAAAAAGGTCATAATAAATACGGAATATGTACTTACCTACATAACTACAATAAAGAAAACCTCATTTTTAAAACCGAATTTAAAGCAAAATGCAACTTGCTAACATAATAATAATAGCGACAAATATAATAACATCCAATAATGCATTTGTTAAAAAACAATTCGAAATATACATTAAAAACATTTTCTTCTTAAGTTAGTTCTCATAATTATAGTCAGTAGAAGACTTAGTCTGTATATATACTGTCAGCCAATCTTGAATATTTCAGTATAAATTACTAACTGCTAATCTTCAGGCGGTCACCCCAAAATGCCTTGGCGGTCCATCGATCGATCGGGATCGACTTATATAAATAATGCTTACCCCGGATATACAGAATAATAGCATTTAAATTTACTAAGCAATGAAAAACAAGCATCAAATTAGATTATTCATCAAAATTCAATGCTATTCAACACGTCTATGCTTTTATATTAATTTTAACTTCATTAAGAATGCAACTGTTTAATTCTTAGCATAGTAATCGATTGCTTCTAAGTTCGAATTTTCTTATAAAAGAAGGTAGGATAACTGAAAACCAATTAAAAGCAAATTCTTTAATGAGAATAAGTAACTGAAACCTTAACTTAAGCAGTCAAAGGAAATAATTAATAGGAAGCAGATGATGGAGATGTTAATCAAATTCCTCCTCGTAACTCATTAAACAAGTTGAATTCAAAGTGAGTTCAATAGATCAATTAAAGGAACACGAAATCTTTACGATGTGTTTCAGATTTAAAATAAAATAAATTTTGAGTGCGTTTAAACTAACAACACAGCAGTTAATTAGGAATATGGCTCATTCCATTCTGTTTAGAAAACAATCAAAAATTTAATTCGGAAACTTGATTTATTATTTTTGTTTTTGGTTGGTTGGATGGTAGTTTGATAAAGATATAAATTTCAATCTTATACCCACATTATTTTAAGCTTGATGTATATATATATATATATATATATATATATATATATATATATATAATATATATATATATATATATATATATATATATATATATATAATATATATATTATGTGTATATACACATATATATATATATATATATATATATATATATATATATATATATATATATATATATTTAAATACTTAAAAAATATCTCATATTTTACCACAACAATTTAAGAGTAGAATATTTCCACTGAAATCGAATATCATGTATTTCTGGAACTTTTACAACTTTTTTCAAACTTTAAGTATGGATTTGGCTTTTTAAAACATTTTCTGTTAACCATGAGCCAGCGATTTTGATCTTTTTGTCTTTAAGAATGTGTTTAAACGGAACTTTTGTTTTAAAAAAAAAGAAAAGTTACATAAATTCTTCCAAGTCAGTGTCTGAATCCAAGTGTTTAAATGGTTTGTAAAAGTCACATTTATTTATTGGGAAGTCTGAATGAATAGGATCATCAAGTTTTCCCTTCAAGCAGTGGCGTTTCGTACACTCCCGCAACCCTTGGATCGCGGGGGATGGGGCAGGATTCTAGGAGGCCCAAAGCCCGACTGGCACCAACCACATACCCTTTGTTA